ACAGCACACACACGGACACCTAAACTTATATATATTTATATGATATATCCAAATCAGCATATTTTTTCTTTTAAAAACCATCTCTTTCAAGTCAAATTAAAATCAGAAGAAACAGCATGAGAGAGAGTGAGAGAGAGAGAGAAAGAGAAATAAAGAGAAAAGAGAAAAAGAGAGACAGAGAGAAAAGAGAGAGAGAGAGAGAGAGAGAGAGAAGAAGGGATACCGAACATTTTTGAAATTCTCAAGAAAATTTTACTAAGTTTCAAGGAGTTCGTCCGTTTCAACACATACATAAACACACAAAAGCAAGTGTATATGCCTCTGAATGTAAAAATACATACATACATACTTATATACATACATACATACATACATACATACATACATACATACATACATACATACATACATACATACATACATACATACATACATACATACATACATACATACATACATACATACAAACATACAAACATACATACAAACATACATACAAACAAACATGAAGAGCATCCCATCAATAATTCAATACATATCCTCTCACTTGAATTGTAGTTAGACAGTGTTGATGTTGTTGATGGTATGATGTTGTTGTGGTTGTTGTTGTGGTTGATGTTGTTGTTGTGGTTGATGTTGTTGTCGTTGTTACTTTAAACTTACAAATTCCACAACATCAACCAGGTCATCAGTATTGATGTCACTTAAAACACTTTAACGACGGAACATCTATTATGAAATCAACAACAGCAACGACTACAACAACAACTGCAGCAACAACATCAACAACAGCTACAACAACAACATCTTCGGAATGACATGTTTTTAAAAGCGGAGCGTGTTGAAATGTTCATGTTAACGATCTATATGAATTATTCATACAACTTCAAACTTCAAAATCTACGACAACAACAACAACAGCGACAACAACGTCATCATTATCATCAACAACATCCTCAACAACAATAACGTTGGAGACTAAAGCAGGTGGACATGAATGAGTGATTGAAAAAAGGAAAATGAAATATGAGTGATGAATGAAGTACAATGAATGAATGAATGAAAAAATGAATGAATGTATTAGTGAGTGAGTAGAATAGACTGACACAACTGTATGAACGAACAAACAAACGAACGAACGAACGAACGAATGAATGAATGAATGAATGATGAATGAATGAATGAATAAATGAATGAATAATAATTTACTGAGTGAATGAACGAATTAAAATGAGGAAAAACGAATGGATGAATAGCA